GTCCTTCCCGAGTTTCTCGAGTCGTGCCCCACCCCGGTGTCCTTCTCCGGCATACTGACGATGGGCTCGAGCTTCCTTCCGGTGAACGAGGAGTGGGAGAGTTACTTGGAGAATGCTGAGCGCACGTATCGGAACTTGGAAGAAGGCGTGAAGAAGCGGCTCGTGGACCTCGCGTTAGAAGCCAAGGATATGATGGAGAATGAAAGCTGGAAGGACGACGTCTGGCTGCGGCAGCTGGACTGGACGCCAAAGGTTGCTGGAAAGTCGAGGGGCATTGGTCTTTCCGAAGCTGTGAGTTTCTTCCGTATTCGCTTCTTCACTGTCGAGGCGTGCTGACGATGATCTAGATCGCGGTTACTAAGGACAATGTGTTGGTCCCTGCATGGTATAGTGAACTACTGTCCCTTGGCCCCTTCAACTCGAAAATTGTCAATCGCACCCTGCCTCTTCTCTTCAAACTCTCTTTCGATAATCACTGTCCCCGATACTCTACGTCGGACAAATGGCACTTTGTCAACGATGGCCAAATTATTCGTCCACCTGCGCCTGGAAAGTCAAAGGTTCTCAGCCTTCTTGGAAAATCTAATGGTCTCACTATGCTCCAGACTGGCCAGATGACGGCCAACGAACACGAGTTGGCTCTCTCTGTTGCCAGTGGAGACCATTCAGAAGAGGTGTCCAAACGCATTCTCCGACTCGCTAAAGACCTCTCAAGGCTCCCTACACCCTCGGACGATCCTTGGCTGAAACAGCTCGACTGGACGCCAATGCAGCACATGCCAACGGATTCGTCTGAGAAGAAGGCCTCCAAACCACCTAAGGTACTGTGGCCCAAGTGGTACTGGGACCTTGCCAGGCCGAGGAAGGATTTTCCGCCCGGGACTGTCGACCTCACGCCCCGCACGCGCATCGCGCCGCTTTTGCTTCGCTTGTCTTGGCAGGATTGGCCTCTCTTTCATTCCCGCGAACATGGGTGGACGTACCGCGTATCGCCCGGCACGGCAGTCAAGACGCGCCAGGCATCACTGGATTTCCATCACCCAGCCGACGAGGTGTTACAGGCGCTCGTACTACACGAGGGCTTCGTGTTCTACAAGTTGCCTCATAAGGACGGCGAAACAGCTAACGTCGGCAGCCCGCTGGCCAAAACGTTCATCAAGTATGCGCAGGATGGGACGCTCACGAGTCCCGGGGACGAGGCGCGCAGCGCACTGGACATGAACGCGCAGTGCAGCTACTGGATCAGCGCGCGTGACCGCGTGCTGAAGCAGATGGTCGTGTGGCAGCGCGCGGGGCTTGACATGGGTCTGAGCGTCGGCGCAGCACCGGGCGGCAAGGCAGGCGTCATCCTCCCGCAGGTGATCACGATGGGCACGGTGACGCGGCGCGCGATCGAGCGCACGTGGCTAACGGCGAGCAACGCGAAGGAGAACCGCGTTGGCTCGGAGCTCAAGGCGATGGTGCGCGCACCGCCAGGGTACGCCATCGTCGGCGCAGACGTCGACTCGGAGGAGCTCTGGATCTCGAGCGCGATGGGCGACGCGCAGTTCGGGCTGCATGGCGCGACCGCGCTCGGGTGGATGACGCTCGAGGGCACCAAAGCCGCAGGTACGGACCTACACTCCAAGACGGCAAGCATACTCGGTCTCTCGCGTGACCAAGCCAAGGTGTTCAACTACTCGCGCATCTATGGTGCGGGCATGCGCCATGCGGTGCAGCTGCTGCTCCAGGCAAACGCGGACATGCTGCCTGAGCAGGCGCAGCGGCTCGCGGAGCAGCTGTACGCGTCGACCAAAGGCAAAAACACGCACCGGACGGACGTATTCGGGCGCAAGTTCTGGTTCGGCGGCACGGAAAGCTTCGTGTTCAACAAACTCGAGGAAATCGCACTCTCGGAGCGCCCGACGACGCCCGCGCTTGGCTGCGGCATCACGCAGGCACTCTCCAAAAAGTACCTCCCCGCCGCATTCGGCGCGGACTACATGACCTCGCGCATCAACTGGGTCGTGCAGTCCTCTGGTGTGGACTACCTGCACTTGCTGATCGTCGCGATGGAGCACCTGATCCAGACATACGCCATCGATGCGCGGTACCTGCTCTCCGTACACGACGAGCTACGCTACCTCGTCGCGGAGCGCGACCGTTACCGCGCGGCGCTCGCGCTGCAAGTCGCGAACTTGTGGACGCGTTGCCTGTTCGCGTTCCGCCTCGGCATGGACGACCTCCCACAAGGCGTCGCGTTCTTCTCCGCCGTCGACGTCGATCGCGTGCTCCGCAAGGAGACCTACATGCCCTGTGTCACGCCCTCGCAGCCCTCGCCTATCCCGCCCGGCGAGTCCCTCACCATCGAGCAGATCCTCGCGCTCACGGGCAGCGGCTCCCTGTGGGCGGACGGCCGCGCGATGGAAGAGGAACCCGCTCACACGTTGGACCCGCTCGTCGGCTACAAGCCCCCAGACTGCATGGGCCATCGCGCGGACAACGCGGCGTGGCTCCGCGCCCAGGCGACCAACTCGTTTGCGGAGGTGAAGTACCTCGCGCAGGAGGCGTCCGGCGTCCGTTTTGAGGGCGACGTCGGCCGTGGCGGTGGTGGTGCGCGTATGCGGGGACGCCGGCGCGGGCCCGGGGAGGTACCAGAGCCGGAGACAGTGACGGCGAAGGCAACGAGCGAGTGGGCGGAGGTCTTGCAGCACGAGATGAGGCGGCTAAAGCTGAAACGATGAGGTCCGAGGGTTTACCTGTTTTGTCATTGTTTGGGTTTCCGAGTCTACAATAAGTTATCATCACATAGTCATAGTCATACTGGGCCACATAGTAGTAGTAAATTATAAGACTCACATATGGTTCATCTCATTTAGTGACACTGACTCGATCATTGGCAGTAGAAGCCACCAAAGCTGAGAAGCACGTTAGTTTCGTTCGGGACGCGCTGCGCGATCAGCTTCCCTAGTTCCGGTAGCGACTAGCTCGGAAATAGCGCCGAACACAGCCTTCAGGTTCAGGACTCCCGCCCCACCACGATACCGCCTGACCCCGATGTACCTTCGCGGACCCCACGCTTCACCCCACGTAGCGCTGTTTGTGCACCTCGCAAGCACAAATAACCCATTGTCCCTGGCGACGACGCGCTTCGGACTTGTTAGCTATCGTCGCTTGCCGAGACTGGGCTAGATCACTCTAGCGCCACATTTACGATTGCGAGCGTCGGGCGAGTTCGGCATCAAACCATAAATAATGAAAAGAGGGGCGGGAAGGCGCGAGTTTGACAAATTGGGATACTCGGTGGTGAGAAAAAAATATCGCTAAGCGCGCCTTATGCCGTATTTGGGCATATCCCGACATCGGGCAGATTCCCACCATCAAACTGCGACTCCACCTCTCTGAGACGCGCCCCCTTGTTGGTCGATAAGCCCTCCCCCCCCGCCTTCCCTTCCCACCACCAAACCCTCCGCCCTTCCGCCCTCCGCCCTGCCCACCTGCCGCGCCGCGTCGGCCGTCCGTAAACGGGTTGTTTCGCTTTGTGTTCGTCAATCAACATGGTCGGGACCGCTATATAAGTTCACGACGCGTCGGGAGTCATTTTCTCATTGCCCCGCCTCCCCCGAGCCTTCTTTCCCCCCCCGTCCCACATCCGTCTCCTCCACTTTTCTGACTCACCTTGACTCGACTCCCCGCCATGCCCTCTTCCCGCTCGTCGAAACATCACACGCCCTCATACGTGTCTAGCCCCGCATGGTCAATGAACACGCTCACCGGGACCTCCGTCTCGGGCGGCAGCGGCAGTGGTGCGCCACATCCCGTAACCCCGGTCCTAAACCCCGTGGGTCTGCCCTCCCCGCCTGGGTCCGCCAGCAGGTCTGCCGCGACGCAGTCCGGGTACGCGTATGCGCAGTTCCCCACAACACCAGGCGCGCCGCATATGAACACGGTCCCACTGCCCGGACTCCAACGTGCGCACCCGTCCCCTCCTCCCTTCCTCCTCTCCACTTAGCTGACCCTATTTTTTTCTTATTGCCAGACACGCTGCCCACACCCCCCGTGAGCCCTGAGCGTTCCAGGTACGCTGCTGTATTGAGTGAGCTGCTGGTCTACACCGGCCACCGGCCGGCCAAATTGAACTATAACGTTGTGCAACCCCCGTCTGCGGCGTGCCTCCACCCGTCCTGCAACCCGAACATGCTGAACGAGCCGGCTATCTCAACGCGCGCGCCGTGCCTAGTCCTTGAGATCCCTGGCATCTCGGGCGGCGCGTTCTATGCGTCGTCCGGCAGCGGCGGCGGTCACCACGCCGTCAGTGTGCGCGAAATCCTTTACGCCATCCACGCCAAGTTGTCTGAACGCGCCGGCCAAGCCGACTTCAACCAACTGCCGAGCGATAGCCACAGGCGCGCCGCCTCTGCGAGCTTCAGCAGGCGCAACGCTGTTGCGCCAGACCCGGCTGGCTTGCGCCGCTTTGATCTCCTCGGCGGACGCACAACATTTGCCGGGCTCCAGCGCGCCGCAAACGGTGCAGATGTCTGGCTTGTGCACTTCATCTGAAGCACCCCCGTACCCCAGCCACCCCTCAAGCAAAGCAACAAGAGACAGAAAAGATCGTGCCAGTAAAGACTTTTAAGAAGTAAGAGTATAACTTAAGATGTAGAGCATTCGACAACGCAAACGGACATTGTGCACACCGACTTAACGGACAAAATGGACTTTGCCTCGCCTCGGGATGGGGTTACCGGCTGCCCCACAAAATAATTTTGTATTGCGGACAATTGGAACTTTCTGTGTATTCGTAGTATCATTTATCTTCTCCTTACTCCGCCTTTCGACCTCCCCTCACGCTTTTTATCACCCCTCGGTCTCCTTTGTATCTTACCACCTCTATTTGTGACTCCTACTGTCCACACCTTACCCAAGGTATGATAGTATAGTTGTGTATCAATAGTTGATGGTTAATCCGAATGTTATGCCTTGTGAAAACCCAGGTGATTAATTATAGGAGGAAAAAAGGTTTCCCATTAGCCGACTCGAACGACTGACCTCGTCATGCAGCAATGTGACTTTGTGATCACGTTACTAGTGACGCGCTCTACCAACTGAGCTAAACGGGATATACTTTACCTTTTACAATTGAAAATCATCTTGCTGTGTCATGCTCGGCACATCCCGGAGTGCAGCGGGCGCTCCGTCGCTCCAGTCCCGGATCACCGTGACGTATACCAGGGCCATTGGTGACCTGGCATAGGCCTCGATAGTCCTGGAGAATCGGAAAGACCTCTCCGCCTGGAAGTTCCATGGAATCAAGAGCTCTGGTAAAAATCCTTCTGAGTCCTTTTCTGAGTCCCCTCAGTTATTTTCTTGGTCTATCATCGCTCGCGCTCAGTTACAGTACAGTAACGTCATGATAACCTGTGCACTTCGTGCCACGAGATTTCACAGCGACTGGCTGGCCTCCGACACTCGGAACCGATTTGGATTTGCTCTTATGCGCACAAGGCGCTCTCTAAAGCCAGAATTTGTGCCGCAGGCTGGGAACTACATATGGTCTTAGATGTGGGTGTAACTCCATTTTTTTTTGGGGGCTCGTGTCTGTTGTTTAGGGTTCTTGCTTCTCCCCGCCAGGCCCTCTCTTGTTCCTCCTCTCTTTCCCCTAAAACTGATGTATCAGACGCGGGGCTGCCATCCGACGACAAGCGCAGCGAATAATTCGTCGCCGAGGTTAGCGCATACATTGAGATACTTGGCATGCGTTGTGGTCTCCTTTGTCCTCCCTGTTCCCGTTCCCCCTCTTTCACGGTCCCGGGTAGTAGGGTACACAAATGACGCTCCGCTGATCGCTCGCACACATCTGTGCAACCCGCATCTCCTTTCGGGGCTACACGTGAGGTATAGATGCGAGCTCTGGAGTCTAGGATTACCTCCTCTGAGTCATCCCTTCTGTCTCGCTGTAGTTGAAAATTCGGATTGATCCTATAAGTGGACTTTGGTATTATTCGCAGATATTTAGATGTGCTGAGCGAGGAATATGCGGGATAGGCTGGGGAGCGCGGACCAGACACGAGATGCGATGCGAGGAGCGACCTATGCTGATGCGTTCCAAGTGCCCTGTGAGAGAAACGAGATCACGTACATCAGGGAAATATCAGTCACTCTCAAGTACGTCCATCATGAAGCCAAGACAACGGGACCATCGAGTGAAGTTAGCGACTCTCAGGAAACACTGAAGAAATCAAAACTTGAAGCCTGTGACTCAAGTCGAATGTGCGCGTCTCACCTTGGTCGGTGCCGCTGGCGCTTGCCTTCACCCTATGGAGTGTAGACTTGGACACAAAAAATCTTGCCATCACCACAAGGGTTTACACATGAAACATTAGCATTGGTGCTAACCTGGTACTAGTGAACGTAGAGCAGTCCCATCAATGTTACACCTCGTGCTCGCCGTACTCTCGTCCCGGCTCGCGTGATAAGTATTTTTCTGGCAGTCGTTTCATTTCTTCCCTCATACTCTGACGTACGAGCCGGAATGGGATTTTTCCCTCTTTGTTCTCTACATTTAGAACTGCACCATGCTTGAGGAGCATGCTTGAAGAGAATCCAAGCCACTTAGAGCGACACGAGGCACGATGCTAGGTGTGATAGGGTTTCTTGTTCTCGTTTCGTGAATTCACCGCGTGCAAGCGGCAACTCCGTTGAGTGCCGTGTATCCCCGACCACGACGACTACGACACGGCGGCAGGCGGTGGTCCGTCAACGTGGCTCACAGCTCCCCTACGCCATTGACCAAGAGGAGGATGCAGCGGGCGGGGGTAACGCGAGCCCCAACCACCATGCAATTCTGATGACGAAGACGACGACGCGACAGCAGGGTAGCCCTTCCACTAATACGAGTGCACCCACGACCGCTACGCGAAGGTGACGCCGCGGGGATAACGCAAGCCGCACCCCCATGCGCCCCCGACGAAGATGCGTGGGCGGGGGTGCCCCGCCAACGCGAGTTGCAACCCCCATGCACCTCCGGTGACGACAACGCGGGGGGAACGCGAGCCACAACCCCTAGCATGACAACGATGACAACAAAGTATTTTAGAATAGCCGTATCACCTTTATTACTTCGTGGACCTGCCATCACTTGTCGTTCATTTAGCCGGGTTGTGAGACACATATCTTGAATCACTTTTCTGTGATTTAAGTATCGGGCTCAAATGCTGATACCGCTGTGGTGGAACCTCTGGTGCTAGATGAATCATGGATCCACTTGGCGGCGGCGTGTACTCAAGACCAGGGTACACTTTTGGCGGATGTTATATACTACTGAAAAAATGACATTTGCCTTGCTAGGAGCCGGCAGCCCGCGCACGGCTGGGAGGTGGCGCAGGCGATTGCTACATTGGCGTCTCGGTGATGGGCCCTGCCAGGCGGACCTCCGATTTCTTACGATTGTGCCTGAATCCACCCACCTCTTCAGTGAACAGACCGCCACACGCCAGGGCGTGAGGGTTCAGGGGCAGGCTCTCCGTGCTGCAAGTCCTCACTAGACGAGCGGGTTGAACGTGGTCCGAAGAGACCGCGTGGCTGTGGTAGAACCTCTGGTGCTAGATGAATCGTGGGCTCACTTGGCGGCGGTGTATATTCTGTTGGCGGGTGTTATATGCCGCTTTCAACGAAGAAAAAAACAATAACAAAGGATATTTGCCTTGCCAAGTTGCCCAGGGGTCAGCGGCTGGAGGAGCCGGGCGGGTCTCCGACTTCTTACGAGTGCGCCTGAATTTACCTCTTTGATGAACGGACCGCCACACGCCAGGGCGGGAGAATTCAGGAGCGGGTTCAGGAGGCTCCTCAGGTGGCAGGACCTCCGCCCCTATGACTATCTGTGAGCTTCTAAAGCGATCGCGACCAGGTCAAGGGAAGACGAACAATCGCGGGCGTCCATTCTTTTTTCGATCCTTTCAACCATCCCCTTTATTTGCTTCGCGTCTAATAAGTGACGTTTAAGATAAATTGTGGTTCCAGATGAAAGAGCTACACACCATTTTGGAGACCATTGGTTTCCCTTAACGTTTGTGCGATTACCGTGAGGAGCTCCCCTTGTTCTAATTGTCTAAGCTTTTGTAAGGCATCCTCAATATTGTTTATTCCCGCCAGCCTCTTTAAAAAGACGCCTGACCGAACATAAGCGAGATACAGCTTATTACAGGAGATGGACTCACCTGGTCGCCTTTTCTTCATCCCTTTTGTCGCGATAGCAAGGATTTGCAGAACGTCAGCCATATTCCTTGCGAGTACTTTCGTCACCACCGGAGGAGGTTGTACTTCGGTATAAATCCTGAGGCGTTCAAAGAAGCTTTCAACCCTGCTAAGAGTTCGATTAGCACATCGCGGTTTGCCGCAGTGCTCTTTGCGGCCTGCCAGAGAAAGTGATATCATGGCCCATGCTGGGGTTTGAGCAAGAAAACTTACTACGAGGAGAACGCCAATTCCAGAAAAGATGATTTTGGTTGGGGGGAATACCTGAAAGTTAACGTTAGCGCAAAGCCATGTAGCGAGGCAGCCTGCCCGTAACCTACTGAGCCAGCACCTTCGCTAAGAATAGCAGAGAGCGCGTGGAGGATATTCACGGTTGGGTTAAGCCACTTAGTGAGTCGCTCATCGCTGCTCCGAGACTGCCAGTGATTCAGTTCATTTGCTTTCCCTTCAAGTACGGCGAGGATAGCCTCGAGAGAATCGCAGCCCACTATCTCAGCAGCGAGTGGGTGGGCAGTCAGGTCTTTGCCGGTCTTCTTCTTATACTTCTTGCAGGGCCTTTTCGAAGATTGGTTGAAAATTTGGAGTGTATGAGGAGGATGCATGGGGGTCGGGACTGGACGACATTGTGCTGATTGCGAGGAGCTAGATAAGGGTATGAGAGTGAGGCGAGACGAGGAACACGATTCCCAGCCTGTGAACGTGTGAACATGAGCACAGCCTTGTGTATGTGACGATGAAAAGACGCCCTCGAGCTTCGACGACACCGATGATAGACGCGCAGCGGCACACATGACTTGGATGACATCGTCTGCGGTGAGACAAACTTGAGACTCGTCGCCACCGGGTTCAAACGCGGTTTGTTCGCCAGTACCTGGTCGCACACTGATAGCCTGAGTGGCTACATACCCAAGTACCCAACTTCGGTGCGCCCTATCGATAGTGCTTGCCGAGGGACGCGTCCCGTCAGTTGCAATTACTTGGTGCCAGCCTGAGTGGCTGCCTAATCAGGCAGACACTCCTGGCAAGAGGGAGATTCGGTCATCGTGTCATCTCCTGTCAATAGTATAGCAGCCTTCATACACGGATATGGGTACAGTAGAGAGCATTTCTCCCTCTCTAACCATTAGACGTACGCTGCCTCCTGTTTCGTCCTCCTTGCCTCTCCACAAACCGTTTCTGTAGACGCAGCACTCCTGTCCAATGACGAGCGTAGCGATCATTTTTTTTGTCTCCAAGCCAGCAAACACTTTGAAACCTTCGCTACTGTATCTTCACTCACTCCGCTCCTCCCCTCCTTTGTGTGATAGGTCATTTATGTAAATCTGCTTATAGCCTGCACTTATCTACCAGCGCGCGACTCCCCCATGATCTTCACAGCCCCTCCGCCGGCTCCTGCCCCCGTATGACGTTAGGCTTCTCGCCTCCTAAACCGCCGATGCTAACACCGGCGCCTGTGTCTGCAGAGGTCCATCGGACGCCAGTGATGTCATGAAAGAAAAGACACGCAGCCTGTTCGAGGAGCACGTCAAGCGCAGCGCGCAGTGCGGCATGCTCGAAGCGCTCACCAGCCATTGCAACGAGTAGCCCGCCAAGGCACCAATGGAGCGCGGGGGAGTTATCACGAACCTGGACGGGGTGGGATAGCGTTTTCATAGGTGCATCGTGCACCAAGGTGAGCCGTAGAGGTTTGTTCTCAATCGTCTATCTCAAGGACGCCCACCACTCCAAACTATTCGTTCAATTCTATCAACGATAGAGGCATGTGATCGGTCCGCGGGTCTGCGTCTTTAGCACATTAGACCAGTGCCAGGGTCGGAGCGTAGGCACTGCGGACTTGGGCCACTGCAACACTGTCCCTTGACAAAAG